GCTTAAACGCTCACTATTTTTGTTGTGCTGTGTAGGGTGACAATGTAAGATAATTTACAGCGCAAAGAGATGTCGCTATCGTATCTGAAAGAGCAGGTACTACTAGAGATAGCATTGAGGTAGGTCGTACACTGGCTGCGACTAGTTTTCTTCTACGCCTCGTTTAATGTCTTTTGAAGGTTCGACTTAATATCGCCGGAGTTCCTATGTCACTGACGGACACCGCTGGAATCCGTGACGCTGAGGACTCTTTGGAAAAAGAGGGTGTCGAAAGGGCGAAACGGAAGTTAGCTTAGAAGTGATATTTTCCAACTTCTCGCTCTTTTCACATAATGATTTCAGAATCTTGGAGGCAGATATTGTTATAGCCGTTGTTGACGCCAGCGCTGCAGAAGAGGAGACGAAATCAATTCTGAGTGAACTTGAGGTGACAAGAATTTGACAGTAGTTTCTTTCGGGAAGATTATAATTTGCTTCGGATTGGGGCTGATCTGTAGATTCTTTAAAAACCAGGTGGTAAGGCCTTTCATAAAAGGCACGGGTCGCGATAAGATTCTTACAGAAATTCTTTCCTTGTGTGAGGTAGCAGGATCCCTATTCTTTGGGGTGGGGTGGTGGCCTGTCGAGACTTGAAAGTGCCTGTCAAGGAAGTTTGTCTTCGCTTGACCGCGACTACCGTGCCATTCCTATCAGCTTCAGTCGCTCAATCACAGTACACGCGTCTGCGCTCTTTCGCGTTTTCGCTCTTCTCGCAGTGGTTCCTCTATCGTATCACGATCGATCACGAAAAACTTCAGTGTTTTGTTGCTTTTTGCTTTTACCATTGAAGCTGCTCTTATCACTTCTTTCCAGTTTTCTAGCAAAATAGCACACTAATTCAATCGCGACCCGTGCCTTTAAGTCCGAGTGTTTGCACTATACCTCTAAAATCATCATCTCTTCGATAAATTCTCATTTAGGAACTAGCTGTGACATCTTTGCCTGTTATCGTCGTCAGAAACAAATCGGATTTGGTGCAATGTAAAAAGTTCAGCGCAGTTGAATCGACAGCTCGATTAGATGTTGTCGATTGTCTAGAGACCTGCGCTCTTACCCCGGAAGGTT